CTCAGGAGGGGCTGCAGGGGGAACAGGGCTCGGGGCCGGGCTCAGGGGGGTCAGGAAGCTCTCAGAAGCCACGGCTGGGATGTCCATGAGCAGATCCCCGGCTGAGGGGGCTGAGGGTGGGCGTGGGACCCTCGGGGAGGGCTGGGCTCGGCACAGGGCCTCAAACTGTCGCAGCATCTGGGATGGGGGTGGGCACAGTCAGAGTGGCATCGGCAAAGAGGATCAGCCTGGCACCTCCCAGGCACAGGGACTGTCCCCATGTCCCAGAGCTCAGAGGGAGCATCACCCCGCCCTGGGAAAGGCAGCCCAACCACCCCTCTGGCACATCCACAGAGCCATTCCCAAGGGCTGTGTGTCCCCAGGGGCTGTCACACCTGTGCCAGGAGCCCCCACCCAAGGGACTGGGCACAGGGATGTCCCCAGAGTCACCTTTGTAGCTCGGTTGGCCACGGGCCCGGGGCTGCCTTGGCTGAGGTGCTGCAGGCGCTGCTGGGTCACAGCAAGGATCTGCTCAGGGGAGAGCAGGTCGGAGCAGCCGAGGGCAGAGATGGCACACATGGACCTCTGTGGGGAAGGGCAGCTGAGCCTGGCAGGCCCCCAGACACCCGCAGCCCTCCCAGGGGAGCCCCTGTGCTCACCATGCGGACGCTGTCACTGGGATCCTCCAGTGCCCGGCCCAGCAGCTCCAGCACCACCTCACAGTTCAGGAGCCCACACCTGCCCAGGGATGGGGTCACAGTCACCTGCAGCCCCTTCCCACCCCACAAACCAGGCCTGGGCAGCCAGGAAAGGGAGCTGAAGCCCCCCAGCCCCAGGGAGCACCTGACACTCACTCCTTGAGGAAGTGCTGAGCTTCCTCCCTGGTGAGGAAGACCCTGGCCCCACGCGTCAATCCTGACACCAGGCTCAGCTCCCTGCGGCAGTCACCCGGGCTGTCAGCATCCACCCTGCTGGGGACACACCTCGTGAGGACAGGGGCCACCTGCTGCTCCTCCTGGGGTCCCTGCACACCCCCTGGGTGGCACACAGGGACCCCCACCCCGAGCAGCCCTGCCCACCCACGGCTGGCAGGACCCCGGAGGGAGCACAGCCAGCAATGCCAGGGCACGCTGGATCAGGGGTGTGGGAAATGAGGGGAGGGTCTGTGGGGATGCCCTGGGACAGCCCC